AAAAAAAAAAAAAAAGAAAGAAATCTGTTAGGTAGCGACATAGAAGTATATCTTTTTTGTTTGTTTGTTTGAGACAGAGTCTCACTTTGTTGCCCTCAGTAGAGTGCTGTGGTGTCACAGTTCACAGCAACCTCAAACTCCTGGGCTTAAGTGATTCTCTTGCCTCAGCCTCCCAAGTAGCTGGGAGTACAGACACCCACCATAATGCCTGGCTGTCTTTTAGAGATGAGGTCTCACTCTGGCTCAGGCTGGTCTCTAACTTCTGAGCTCAGGCCACTGCTGGAGGCTTCTCCACTTCTCCAGGCTTCACCACATAGACAAGGTGTGGAACCTTGAGTGAGTCTTTACTTTGTGCTTTGGCTTTCTGCCTGATAAAATGGGGGATAATACATGAACATTCTATAAATGACTACTCATGTAAAATGCTTAAAATAATGCCTTGAATGTGATGCGTCATTCCAAGCTGAGTGGTTTGGCAGGAGCATGATGGAGGGCCGTCAGCTGGGGAAGCCGGGAATCTGTTGTGTGTAGAGTGGATCTGGCTGGCTGAGCAGATGCATCCTTCCTGGCATTAGGAGCTCTACCTTCCCAGGTGTACAGGTCTGTTCTCTAGTCATGTGGTATTCTAGAAGCTGCATTTCTCAGTTGGACATTGTGGGCCGAGAGTAGGAGGTATAAAAAGTTTACACATGCTTGGGTTGTCAAGCACTGGGCGGGTTGCAGGAGCAATGTGAAATGAGACTAAAAAAGGTATGTTGGTGCCACATCTTTAAAGACCCGCTTAGCAGCTTGGTTATTTAAGGGTGACATGGAGCAACATGGTTCCCTTTATGTTGTAGCAATCTAACTGGTGGCACTGTGGAGGATGGATTGGGGTAAAAGGAAGGAAGAAGTACCACTGGAAGGCTGGAGCAGGTGAGAGATGATGACTTGCAGAAGGGCCTTGGTAGTGGGATAGAGACTGAGCCTTTCTGAAACAGAAAAGTCAGTTCTCAGTGAATTGACTATGTAGGGGAGAGAAGGAACCATCTAAAGACTTCTTACGGCTCAGCGCCTGTGGCTCAAGTGGCTAAGGCGCCAGCCACATACACCTAAGGTGGCGGGTTCGAATCCCCAGCCCGGGCCCGCCAAACAACAATGATGGCTGCAACCAAAAAATGGCCGGGCGTTGTGGCAGGTGCCTGTAGTCCCAGCTACTTGGGAGGCTAAGGCAGGAGACTCGCTTGAGCCCAGGAATTGGAGGTTGCTGTGAGCGTGATGCCATGGCATTCTACCCAGGGGGACAGCTTGAGGCTCCGTCTCAAAAAAAAAAAAAAAAAAGACTTCTTACCAGGGCAGCGCCTATGGCTCAGTGGGTAGGGCACCGCCTCATATACCAAGGGTGGCAGGTTTGAACCTGGCCCTGGCCAAACTGCAATGACAACAAAAAATAGCTGGGTGTTGTGGTGGGCACCTGTAGTCCCAGCTACTCAGGAGACTGAGGCAAGAGAATCACCTAAGCCCAGGAGTTGGAGTTTGCTGTGAGCTGTGATGCCGAGCACTCTACTGAGGGCGATAAACTGAGACTCTGTCTCTAAAAAAAAAGACTTCTTGCCAGGCCAGGTACAGTGGTTATACCTGATATCTCAGCAGGATTGCTTTTGCCCAGGAGTTTGAGACCAGCCTGAGCAACATAAAAAGACCCTCTCCCTTTGGCTCGGCACCTGTGGCTTAAGTGGCTAAGGCACCAGCCACATACACCTAAGGTGGTGGGTTTGAATCCAGCCCGGAGTCGCCAAAACAACAATGACAGCTGCAACCAAAAACATAGCCAGGCGTTGTGGCACGTGCCTGTGATCCCAGGTACTTGAGAGGCAGAGGTAGGAGAATTGCTTGAGCCCAGGAGTTGGAGGTTGCTGTGAGCTGTGATGCCATGGCACTCTACCCAGGGGGACAGCTTGAGGCTCTGTTTCAAAAAAACAATCAATCAATCAATCAATCAATCTTGTAGCCAAGCATAGTGGCTCACACCTATAATCCTAGAATGCTGGGAGGCCAGGGTGGGTGAATCACTTGAGCTCAAGAGCTCAAGACCAGCCTGAGCAAGAGTGAAACCTCATCTCTACTAAAAATAGAAAAACTAACTAGGTGTGGTGGGTACCTGTAGTCTCAGCTAGTTGGAAGACAAGAGGATCGCTTAAGCCCAAGAGTTTGAGGTTGCTTAGAGCTACGATGTCCTAGCACTCTCCAGAGGGTGACAGCTTGAGACTCAGTCTCAAAAAAAATAAAAAAGGCTCAGTGCCTATAGCTCAACAGCTAGGGTGCCAGCCACATACCCACATACACCAGAGCTGGTGGGTTCAAATCATTCAGCCTGGGCTTGCCAAACAACGATAACTACAACCAAAAAATAGCTGGGCATTGTGGTGGGTGCCTGTAGTCCCAGCTATTTGGGAGGCTGAGGCAAGAGAATTGCTTGAGCCCAAGAGTTTGAGGTTGCTGTGAGCTGTGATTCCATAGTACTTTACCCAGAGTGACAGCTTGAGACTCTGTCTAAAAAAAACAAACAATGACAACAACACTAAAAAAAATGTGGCTTAGTGCCTGTGGCTCAAGCAGCTAAGGCACCAGACACACCTAAGCTGGAGGGTTCAAATCCAGCCCTGGCCTGCCAAACAACAATGAAAGCAACAACCAAAAAATAGCCGGGGATTGTGGCAGGCACCTGTAATCCCAGCTACTTGAGAGGCAGAGGTAGGAGAATTACTTGAGCCCAGGAGTTGGAGGTTGCTGTGAGCTGTGATGCCATGGTACTCTACCCAGGGTGATAGCTTGAGGCTCTGCCTCAAAAAAAAAAAAAATTGCTGGAGTTGCTCTATATGCTAGGGGAATCTTGGCTGCCTCAAAAGGAGTGTTTTTTGTTTTTTTTTTTTTGCCAGGGCTGGGCTGGGTTTGAACCCACCACCTCTGGCCTATGGGGACAGCACCCTATTCCTTAAGCCACAGGCACCACCCTTCAAAAGGAGTGTTGTGTTCAGAAACTTCACTGTTTAAATCACACCTCAAGGACTCCTTTCAATACCTATTCCCAGGCCAGGCACAGTGGCTCACACCTATAATCCCAGCATTCTTGGAGGCCAAGGTGGGAAGATCACCTGAGCTGAAAAGCAAGACCGGTCTCTACTAAAAGGAAAAATATATATATAAAAATTAGCGGGGTGTTGTGGCAGGCACCTGTAGTCCCAGCTACTAAGAAGGCTGAAGCAGGAAGTTCACTTGAGCCCAGGAGTTTGAGTTGCTGTGAGCTGTGACCACAGAGCACTCTATTGAGGATGACAAAAATCTCAAGAAAAAAAAATCCATTCCTGAGACAGTGATAACCTGGAGGCTGCTCAGAGGAAGTGACAAACAAGGAGGGTACTGGAAACCTTGGCATGTATGGAATATTTGAAAGGTAAATTAGTTATCTTTAAGCGTTTGAAGAATTTATAGAGAGGCATTGTGTGGTGGCTTACACCTGTAATCCTAGAACTCTGGGAGGCTGAGGCAGGTGGATTGCTTAAGCTCAGGAGTTCAAAACCAGCCTGAGCAAGATTAAGACCCCTTCTCTAAAAAAATATAGCTGGGTGTTGTGGCAGGCGCTTGTAGTCCCAGCTACTTGGGAGGCTGAGGCAAGAGGATCTCTTGAGCCCAAGAGTTTGAGGTTGCTGTGAGCTATGACACCATGACACTCTACCAAGGGTGACAAAGTGAGACTCTGTCTCAGAATAAATAAATAAATAATGGGGAAAGGAGTTGTAATTGTCTATAACCGAACAGGTAATAATTGCAAGGAAGAAGATTTTACCTCAACATTAGAATTTGATTATGATTGTTGAACAAATAGTGGTGCCTCAGGTGTTTCCTGTCCTTGAAGGTTGCAGAGAATAGAAAGTGATATTGCCAGAATGTCATCAGGGGATCCACACAATAGATGGACTTCATAGACGGGTGAGATCGATAGAGGGGAGGGAGCAGACAAATGACCGCTGAGATCTGAGAGCCTGATGTAATATGGGCCTGGGGCCAATGGCAGCAGTCACAAATCATCCTGGGATTGTGGCTGCCCTTTTACTTTCAATCATTTCTCTTGTAGGGAAACAAGAACAGAGGCTAATTCTCCTCTTCAAGGGAACTCTGAATCCCCGAAAGAGACAGAGACTTTGAACCCAGAAGTTATTCTGTCTTTGGAGGGGACCTTGAACCTAGAAGATATTTTCTACCACCTGGAGGACACAGGTGACCTTGATGAGATACTCCACGTGGAAGAGGCGGAGAAGCCAGAGGAGACCCTGTATATTGAGGAGACCAGGCAGCCAGAGGATGAGACAGCGTACGCAGAGGAGCCTGTGAATCCAGAGACACTGTATGTGGAGGAAATAGTAGAGCCAGATGAGGCACAGGTTGTGGAGGAGCCCAGGGAGCCGGGAAAACCCACAAGCCCAGAGCAGATTGTTTATGGGGCAGAGACGGTCACAGGGGAGGAAAATGCTAACCCTGAGGAGAGCCTCAGAGCTGAGCCGAGCCCGGGTGTGGAGGACCTGAGCATAGAGGACCTGGAATTGCTGGAGGAGCGTTTCCAGCAGTGTGTCCAAGCCGTGGCCCAGCTGGAAGAGGAGAGGGATCAGCTTATCCATGAGCTGGTGCTGCTCCGGGAACCCGCCCTGCAGGAGGTGCAGCAAGTCCATCAGGACATCCAGGCGGCCTACAAGCTGCACGCCCAAGCAGAGCTGGAGCGAGATGGGCTAAAGGAAGAGATCCGACTGGTCAAGCAGAAGTTGTTCAAGGTGACAAAGGAATGTGTGGCCTACCAGTACCAGCTGGAGTGCCGTCAGCAGGATGTGGCTCAGTTTGCTGAATTCAGGGAAGTGCTGACTACGCGGGCGACCCAGCTTTCAGAGGAACTGGCCCAGCTCCGGGATGCCTATCAGAAGCAGAAGGACCAGCTGCGGCAACAACTAGAAGCACCCCCCAGTCAGAGCGACGATGGGCACTTCCTCCAGGAGAGCCGGCGACTCTCTGCTCAGTTCGAAAACCTCATGGCAGAGAGCCGCCAGGGCCTGGAGGAGGAATATGAGCCTCAGCTTCTACGGCTTCTAGAGAGGAAAGAAGCTGGGACCAAAGCTCTGCAGAAAACCCAGGCTGAGATCCAGGAGATGAAAGAGGCTCTCAGACCCTTGCAAGCGGAGGCCCGGCAGCTTCACCTGCAAAATAGGAACCTGGAGGACCAGATCGCACTTGTGAGGCAAAAGCGAGATGAAGAGGTTCAGCAATACAGGGTAGGCCCACTGGGCATGAAAGGAACTGAGGTCTCTTAACTGGGGAAGGGAAAGGTGACAAGAGTCTGATGTGTCGGGGGCTGAAGGATTCTATCACATGTGGGAAAAACAACTTGTTCTTTGGAGCCATTCACATCTTCTTTCCTCCATTCTTCCTTTATTCAGGCCTGTGCTAGGGAATGAAAGCTAGCTGTACTTTTAGTTTACTTAGCATTTTTACACCAACTGTCTCGTGTGTTTTTCACATTAATCCTGCAATATTCTTTTTTTTTTTTTTTTTTTTTTTTTGAGTCTCAGGCTGTCCCCTGGTTAGAGTGCTATGGCATCATCATAGCTCGCAGCAACCTCTAACTCTTGGGCTTAAGCAATCCTCTTGCCTCAGTTTTCTCTTTTTAGTAGAGACAGTGTCTCACTCTTGCTCAGGCTTGTCTTGAACTCATGAGCTCAGGCAATCCACCCGCTTCGGCCTTCCAGAGTGCCAGCGTTATAGGTGTGAGCCACAGTGCCCAGCCAAGTATTCTTATTTTTTACATGAAGAAAACTGAGGCTCAGCGAGTTGGAATAGTTTGAACTCTGGTCTGCCCAACCCTAAATATTTTAGTGCTTTTTCCACAAAACCATTTTCTACTTCTAACTGAATAGTGAGTCACACTCGGGTATATATAGAGCAGGAGGGAATGAGGCTAGACGGAATGAATTCATTCCCTTCTCTCCACCCCATATTCATCTTGCAAGTCCCACCTATCCAATCTCTGCCTTCAAAGTTTTCCAGGTTTTAGACTAGGATGAAATCTACAAATCTTTACTCTTCATTTTCCTTTTCTGTGCATTTACCACCAATCATCCTTGTATTCAAATTATTTCTGATTAAGTGTGAGCCAGTTCTAATCCCTTTTTAGAACATAGTGGGATATAAATACTAAATGAATCAACAATTACATCATTTCTCCCATAGGCTGTGAGCTTGCAGAAGGTAGGGAGTATGTTATCCTTATCTGTTTTATTCTCTACCACTCATGGCTCAGAGTACATACCAGTTAAGTGCTCGGTTATCTGCTACTGGGCACTGAGACTATAGTGTTATGCTCTAAGCAATATTTTTGTCTCTTAAAACATGTACTCCTTTGGATAAACTTAAAAATCTATGCCCTCCCAGATATTTTTTTCCCAAATATTTTTCCTCTTATCCCTGCAGATGTCTCTTCATCTTATTTATAGTTTCAGCCTCTCATGTTGAAAGCTGTGTCCATATTTATCTAATATGTATAAGGGTCTTAAAATTGGCCATCGGTAAGCATGGATAGAATTTGTTGAAGGGGGGGGCTTCAGGATATAAAGCAGCAGCAATTGACTACCTTTGGGAAAATTTCAATGTTTTGAAGGTGTTCTCTCTAGGGCAGTGGTTCTCAACCTGTGGGTCGCAATCCCTTTTTAACAATGAAAATACATTGTGGCATTAGGAAGGTTGAGAACCACTGCTCTAGGGACTTACAGTTCCTCCAAGGATGAATTTTCCATCCACTTGAGCAGGAAGAACTTCCCTGACTTCCAGTGTTCTAGGCAGGGGGCTAGTGGGGTCCCATCATCAATCTTCTAAGCACTCACTTCTACCTCCTATTTAATTTTTTTTTTTTTTTTTTTTTGAGACAGAGCCTCAAGCTGTCCCCCTGGGTAGAGTGCCGTGGCATTACAGCTCACAGCAACCTCCAACTCCTGGGCTCAAGCGAGTCTCTTGCCTCCACCTCCCAAGTAGCTGGGACTACAGGCGCCCGCCACAACGCCCGGCTATTTTTTGGTTGCAGCCGTCATTGTTGTTTGGCGGGTCCGGGCTGGGGATTCGAACCCGCCACCTTAGGTGTACGTGGCTGGCGCCTCAGCCGGTTGAGCTATAGGCGCCGAGCCATAGCTCCTATTTAAAACCCAAATCTCATCCTTGCCTTCCACAGCATCCTGTGTCCCTGAGTCTGAAGGGCTCTCAAATCAAGATTTTGAAGAAAATGGTTCTCCCCTGAAACAGAGCACTGGGAATAAGCAGGTGGGGTGGGGGGTGTCACACACAGATTCATCATTCCTTTGCCCCTTCCCCTTTGGCTCTGTACCTGGTTTCTATGGAGCAGAAATCTAGGTCAAGGTGGGACACAATGGATTAGGAGTTGCTGTGATTTGTGAAAAAGCCATGTAGAATAAGCCATTAGTTGAGTGCAATGTGGTTTTGAGGAATAAAGGACAAGCTAAGGAGAAAAAAAAGTACAGCAAGTGAGGGCAGCCCAGAAGGCTCTGGCTCCAAGGTGTAGGGATAGCTCCTTAGGAAGGCCAATGTAGCTGGAATAAAGGGCGGTGGCAAAAAAAAAAAACAGAAAAAACAAAAACGTGCATTCCACACAGAAAAGATGGCTTAGGGGATTTGTTTCAAGAGGTTGTCATCTCCAGCACAGGCTCTTTCCTGAAGATACCCAGGAACTAAGATGTGTGCTAAGGTACTTTAAGAAAACCCAGAGTGAAAGGGGGTGCTTTTATGGACACAAGTCCGTAGGAGGCGGTTTTGGCTTGGAGCAAGAACAGCTGTAGATGTATAAAATGGGAAAGGAACCATTAGGGTTCTGCTCCTGCCCCTACGCCTCTGGTCCATGTGTCCTCAATAATAAAATTGGACCTTGCAAAAGTTTAATGTGGATAAGGCGTTGAAAAAAAAAATACAGGTTGAAAATAAAAACCCTCAGCCCTTTCACGCCTCCTCCTCCAACCCCCAGGTCTAGAAAATTATATTGTAAAAAGCATCTCTTTCCTAATTCTGCTTCTCTCTTGAGGGCTAAAGTCAAACCCTGACTTGAAGGGTTCCTTCAGGGAAGAGCTTCAGCACCCAAGGGTTTATTCATTCACCCCTTCTCCTCGCACTCCAGAGAAATGTGGTGACTTCCAGGATTTCGAGAGATCCTTAAGGGGATGTGTCCCCTGTTGAAAATGGCTACATTCACTTTCTGAAAATTTTGTTAGGCCTTTTCTAGTCCGTATTGTGAAAACAGTGAGACTGGGTGTTCTAGTGCTCACACCTGGAGTTCTAGTGACTTGGGAGGCCAAGGGGAGGATTGCTTGAGCCAAAGAGCTGGAGGCTGCAAGGAACTATGATCACAGCACTGCACTTCAGTATGGCTGACAGAGGAAGATTATCTTTTTTTTGTTTGTTTTTGACTTTTTTTTTTTTTTTGAGAGTGAGTCTCATGTCCTCGGTAGAGTGCTGTAACGTCACAGCTCACAGCATCCTGAAACTCTTGGGCTTAATTGATTCTCTTGCCTCAGCCTCCCAAGTAGCTGGGACTACAGGCACCTGCCACAATGCCCGGCTATTTTTTGGTTACAGTTGTTGTTTTGGCAGGCCTGGGCCGGGCTTGAACCTGCCAGCCCTAGTGTATGTGGTTCTTTTTTTCTTTTTTGAGAGACAGAGTCTCACTTTATTCCCCTTGGTAGAGTGCTGTGATGTCATAGCTCATAGCAAGCTCCAACTCCTGGGTTTAGACGATTCTCTTGCCTCAGCCTCCCAAGTAGCTGGGACTACAGGTGCCTGCCACAACGCCCAGCTATTTTTTTGTTACAGTTTGGCCAGGGCCAGGTTTGAACCTGCCATCCTCAGTATATGGGGCTGGCGCCCTACTCACTGAGTCACAGGCACTGCCTCAGCCCTGGTGTATGTAGCTGGGTCCCTAGCCGCTGAGTGACAGGTGCTGAGTCCCCCCACCATTTTATTAGTTCACAGTATAGTGAGAGGCACTTATTTACTTGCATAAATCCTGTCCTTAACAGCTAATACTCAAATAGACATTACATTAGTAATTATAACACATGGTAGAAATATGTGATTTATGAGAGGTGCAGGTAAGAGGAATATGGGATAGTTGAGATTTTTTGCCATTGGTTAAATCAGAACTCTTTATGGAAAAAGAGGTGGAATTTGAGCTAGGTATTCAAGTTTAGGGAGTACTGTCCAACAGAAATACAGTTGACCAGGCAAGGTGTTGTAACAAACTACTCAACATAAAGAGGTGATCAACATAAGGAACAAGGCCTACTGTACTAATATGCACATGTATGTGGTACATGTACAGTCTATGAAAACTAGGTCATCTATGTGGGTTCTACTGTATAATGCAAGCCACATCAAAAAAGTAAAGAGGGGCGGCGCCTGTGCCTCAAGGAGTAGGGCACTGGCCCCATATGCCGGAGGTGGTGGGTTCAAACCCAGCCCCAGCCAAAAAACCCCCAAAAAACTGCAACAACGACAAAAAGTAAAGAAATGCTGGCTTGGCACCCGTAGCTCGGTGGTTAGGGTGCCAGTCATATACACTAGGGCTGATGGGTTCGGCCCAAGGCCTGCCAAACGATGATGACAACAACAAAAACAAAAAAATAGGGTGTTGTGGCAGGAGCCTATAGTACCAACTACTTGGGAGGCCGAGGCAAGAGAATTGCTTAGGCCCAAGAATTTGAGGTTGCTGTGAGCTGTGATGCCACAGCACTCTGCTGAGGGTGACTCTGTCACAAAAAAAAAAAAGAAAAAAGTTATCTTTTCCTTTTTTTTTTTTTTTGTAGTTTTTGGCTGGAGCTGGGTTTGAACCTGCCACCTCTGGCATATGGGGCCAGCACCCTACTCCTTTGAGCCACAGGCACTGCCCTTTTTAAAATTTTTTTTTTTTTTTTTTT